CTTCCTCAATTCCGGACGCTTCACGTTCAGGCGACTAAGTGGCTTGGTGATGGTAGAGATGGTGAGCCTCATACATTCCAGGTACTGCACCAGCTACAAGCCGGACTTGTGCAGGTTCACTTGGAGCTCGAGATGCTCCAGGAGGCGGATCGTTGCTTGCACTGTGGTGTGCCGCAACCAGACCGCACACAATAATGAGGCAGGTGGCAATGCACATCACTACCTTCACCGCCCATGTCCGGAAAATGCAGACGATCGATGCAGACACTTGGTGCATGTGCGGAGTGAATAACACATGCCGAACGGTAGACATGTGTACCGCCAGCCACTTCCGGATGGCCGGATTGATGCCGGTCGAGTGACACATGTCCTGCATGGCCAAATAGCACATTGGCTTCATGAGGCTGGCAACATCGTCAGTGGCCGTACCGGGTCTTCAGCTTGCAGGGACCTGTGGTGATAAAATCGTCATATTCGGGTGCTCAGCGATGGTAGAGATGACGCAGGATGCGGAGCCAATGGCTGCTTGGATGGTCATTTGAACTGGACATAGTTTATATCCGTAGATCTCAGGTATATGTACAGCTTACTCAGCTATTGCACAACATGGTCATGGACCTTGGGAGTGCACAGGACGTCTACGGCAAGACAAAGGTGAATATACATGTAGGTCATCAAGTTCTTCCTCCACGGTGAGAACACAAAGACATCGCATATTCACTGATTTCCTTCTGCGCTAGGAAAGCAGTTTTCTATACAATATACATAACTGTATATTTGTTTACAAAGAGGCGTCTTTTCGAGGGTAGAGGGCTCAACACGATGCGGAGCACTATGATGATTTCATTGAGTGAGGAACTCAGAGTTGCAACAAACTCTAAGACCTCCGTGTGCCTTTTGTGTACCTGTTCTGTATATATTTTATACTTGAAGTACATTTATGCAAATGTACTCGTAAGCGTACCAAGTAAGGCACACCGTGAAAGGCCACCGACAGCCGAGCAGGCTGGTAGTGTGGACCATTGGCTGCACCATTACGGGATTGGCACGACATGCATCCAGCTGCTTCAGCTCGTCTGCCAAGCCCTTGTTGGTAACGAAAGCCTGGTACATGGTGGGTCGGGCACAAGGCACACGTGCATGCAGTACCGGCGTATCCGCCATATCAGTACTAAACAGTACGAGACTGATCTGGTTGCTAGCTATGGTTGCTAGCTATAATATAAGTAGATTCCTTCTGGGTGCGTAGATATTCCAGGATACGTACTATGAAATGCTATTCACAGTAGTAAATTACAGATATGGTTACTTGGACCTGCCGTTGTACGGAAAGGGCCGCGCTGATATGCACATATCACATGGGCAATTAATTGATCCCAGTTATGGATGCGGCAGTAATCGTGCAAGGCCTTGGCTGGCCAGACCAAGAAGGGGGTGGTCCCTCGCGGTGCCCGAGATGGGCACTAACATGAGTAGTGGAAGGCAGTACACCACAAGTCATAGCGTACACAAAGGCAAGTGTACATGACATTGCACTCTTGGCACTACGCTCAGCAGATAGCTGGAGTGCCCGTGTCCGTACGTGCTCCAGCCACCGAAGGTCAGACTGAGGTATGGCAACAGTAAAAGTGTTATATGCTTCACCACTTCGAGGTTGCTATCACAAAAGGTGCTTGAGCAATAGGAGTGGCAGTACATTGTTGGCACTGCACAAATGGCAACCATTTGATGTTTATTTTTCATTGCTCACAGAGGTGCATCAGCCACCTCTGACATCGTGATCATGCTTCCAGAACCATGTATCTACATACAGGTAAACCTGCCTTAACCGGACGCCCGTGGTGCAGCGGAAACTGGTCTGATATGACATTATTCCGCTTGACACAGGGATGCACGTTCCATCCACAGCCCTTTGATGCAGGAACATTTCCCGGTCAATACGGAATTCTGCCTGGTATAGGAGCAAGCAAACACAGGTAGAACTGTACTTGCGAAACAACAATATGAGCATGGCAGAACGGCATTAAGTTATGGGCGTGACACTGGGCATGAAACAAACTTGGAAAGCACTCGCCGGTGCTTGCAAAGCCACGAGACCATCGTTCATCACCAATGGACTAATGGTTTGAGTGTGGCAAGGCCCCCGACAGGGCCTGCCCACTGGCGTGACGGAAGCCACCATATCTACAATGACCGCACAGTCCACCGACATGGGTGGATGCGAGTTAGGCACAGACATTGGAAAGGCACTCCTGCTTTTCATGAAATTGCCCTGACCACACCAGGAAGGCACGACTCAGGGCAAGAAACAAAGCACTCGCTGGTGCTTGCAAACCCACGAGACCATCGTCCATGGATAGTGGATGGATGGATAGAGTGGTTAGAGTGCGGCAAGGCACGCGACAGGGCCTGCCCACTGTAGAGACCATCGTCCATCGACAGTGGACGGATGGTTAGAGTGTAGCAAGGCACGCGACAGGGCCTGCCCACTGGTTCGACCATCGTCCATCCGCAGTGGATGGATGGTTAGAGTGGCTAGAGTGTGGCAAGGCACGCGACAGGGCCTGCTCACTGTAGACTATCGTCCATGGACAGTTGACGTATGGTTAGAGTGCGGCAAGGCACACGACAGGGCCTGCCCAGTGGTGTGACCATCGTCCATCGACAGTGGATGGATGGCTAGAGTGTGGCAAGGCACGCGACAGGGCCTGCCCACTGGTGAGACCGTCGTCCATCAACAGTGGACGGATGGTTTGAGTGTGGCAAGACACGCGACAGGGCCTGCCCACTGCCGTGACAGAAGCCGCCGCATATCCGCCATGTCCGCGTCGTCCATCGATGGGGTTGGATACCAGTTACTTGTAGGTACAGAGATTGGCAAGGCACTCGTCAGGGCCTGCCCAATGACGTGACGGAAGCCGTCTGTTGATGTTGCTACGCGCTAAGCGCAGAGCCTTGGCAAGGCACTCGAAAGAGCCTGCCGAACTCGTGAAGGCCGCCCTGACCCAACAGGGAAATCGTGACTCGGGGCATGAAACAAGGCACTCGTCGGTGGTTGCAAACCCACGGAACCATCGCAGCGTCGCCATCAGCATTGGCCGCCGAAAAGGCCGAAATTTCCATATCGGCACTAACTAGTTACTTCAGCACTTACCTACACGGACAGCACGACGATCCGGTAGGAACTCTTACTAGTCCTAGGCCTGGACTGCGAGCTTCAGCTTCGGAGTCATCATTAGACAATAGACACTGCCATAGCGGCAGTAGAAGACTGAAGTCTCAAGGATACTAGACAAAGGAAAAAGGTAACCTATCAGCAAAGAAGCGAAAGAAAAGGCCAAAGAAAGCAAGAGGTGCTAGGTGCAATCAAGGCGTGCATTTGCATTTTTATCTTTAAACCGCTGGAAATTTATGGAAAACTAGAGCGATTTGAGGCCAAACACACTGTCACATTCGAAGCCGAAGCTCCGAAGTGTAACGTCACTTCCGCATTCCGTGGGTTAGCTTCTTGTTGAGTAGTTTATGAAAATAATGATTTTGACCAGGGAGTCGTATAATACATCGGATATTTTCTGACTCCCGGGGGGGATCCCTGGTTTTGAGTCTTTTGACAGCGTGCGCTGAGGATTACAAAAAAGTGAGCATTTTCCGAGCATTTTCGGCAAGGTTAGGGAGCATTTTCGGCAAGGTTTACGAGAAAGGGTTTGCTCCCCACACCGGAGCTCGCGCTATTCCGCCGACTTTACTTGACACTTGACTGACTCACGACTGCCATCCAGAGCACACGAGAAGTCCATCGAACCTTCGACTCGGCAAACCTGCAAGAAAGCACCACTCCCTGCTCAATACACAGTGTTTCGGGGAATTCACCCCTCATCACGGTTGAGCTTGAGTAAGCTGAGGAAGATTGTGCCTGAAGAGCACCACTTATATAGTGCTCTCCAGCTACAAACATCACCAGGGATACAAACTTACAGAGACGCTCCGCTTCCAGCGCGATAAACACCTCGTGAACACCAGATAGCAGCGTGAGTCAGTGTCGCTCCTGGATAGTGAGACCAGACGTTGAGGACCCTCGGTCATTCGCAACGCTGTCACCTCCAAACCAACTAGTCGCAAGCCCGCGCTGGGCACAACAGTACGAAGTAGTGGTTGCGACTTCGGCGAACCCTTTCTTACAAATCATCGCCGAAGTCGCAACCACTACTTCGTAAGGTTTACGAGAATTTCGCAAAAGCATTTTCGGCAAAGTTTCGGGCATATTACACCGGGGCCTAGACCGAATGCATACCGATATGCGAATGACTGTTGCCGTGTTGGGACATTCTTCCAAACATGACGTCAAAGAATTCGTAAAAAAAAGACAACTTTTGTCGCAAGCTGCTAGCCTGTCGCAAGCGCGAGACTCATCATGGGCGCGCTCGAGCTGCGAAGCGCGACACACGAGCGCGACCCAAACTGTGTCATGCCACAGGCCATGGTCGTCGATGAACTCCCATGTTGGATATCCGATGGAAGTAACTATGTGTACTAGCAAAGTTACACTGCCACTGATACCATGTACTAGTGATGGTGTTACCCTATGATGTGCTGTGATCCTGTGCCCTCCCGACCTCGTGCTAGTACTGGTGCGTTCGGGTCCCGTCATTCCCGATTTAGGTGGATCAGTTCACATTTGGGGGGACAATGGGCCAGTTTTAATTTCTTACTTTTACGATGGGGCAGCGCCAGTAAAGGTTTTTCAGAACCGCTCACAGAGCGATTTTTATATGGATAATTTCAGTTCTTTTTCCGTTCCCTCCCCACCCGAACCCCGAAGGTAAACATGATGAACACGCGCGCGATGTACTGTATGTAGGCATGAGACTGCGATAACACACTGATACATACCAGCCCTCCCCACCTCGCTTACCCCGCACACAGATACCCAAACACGCGGATGCACACGGTACACGCACACATACGCACATGCACACGACACAAACAGGAAATTCTTCATGTAAAATGCCATGCAAAGCAGTGGCCACTGTACTTTTAAAAGGAAGTCAGTTGTGGAACAAAATAATTCAACTACAACGTGTAGACAAGCTGACGGCCAAAGCACAACATAGCAAACATGACATTTGCCCAAAGATTGCAGTTTGCAGACCACGCCATGGAAACAGCGAATACAGAATGTAATATCATACAGAGTGACAAGCAAAGAAGTGGCCACCATACACCAGAGACTTGCAGAAAGTCACATATCCAACAGATGGAAAAGTGAACAGCAATCTGGTACAGCCCACACAAGACAAAGCTGACCTGATACTTGTCCCAGGATCGCAAGTGGCAGATCCTTTTCAATGCATAACATGCAGGTGTACGTTACACGCATGGACAATCTGACCGTGTCGCCAGCATACAATGTCATCACATATATACTCCACAAGTTACACACATGCACAGTAGAAGCACAATGAAAGCAATGGAAAAGTACGATGTGGTTGCTGAAGCATCTTCGCACTTCAAATTCAGACTTCAATGTGGTCGTCACGAGATGATATACCTGCAAGATAGAAGTGATGCAGAAAGAAAGCAGAAGGTCGTGAGGTAGGCTATGAGATACCACAAACGGGTCACCTACATGTATGTTCAGGGCTAGTGCACTCGCACGCAGAATTATCATAATCGAGCATTTCCCAAACTGAGAAGTGCAAGGAAATCCACTTGCATGCACAGGAGCAATTAGCCGCTGATGTGATGCGCAATTCGAGACGATCTGCGATGCTGCGTGCTCACCTCTGATGCCGATTACTTCCTTGCTTAGACCGGCCCGGTCTGCTCTCCCTTCACTCTCTTCTAAATCCTACTTGGAGCAGTAAGGCTGTGTCACTGCTCCTACTGATAACCCAGTTAGGTTGTGGTCATTGTTGTGAAAGCAATATCATCGTCATTGTCCATGACGATGGTGTCCATGACGATGGTGCCAGTGGGTGTGATGGTGGTACTGTCATCAGGCTTGTACCCGTGAAACTGTTCCAGGTAGTAACGCAGAGAGTGCGCGTACTTGTCCAGTGCGTACCACATGAGCTGCGTGAAGAAGGGAAAGCGGAACTTCTGCGGAACCTGCATGATAAGACACGAAGGGAGTCATAGTGGAACAAAGTGAAGTATACGGAGATGGAGAGAGAGAGAGAGAGAGAGAGAGAGAGAGAGAGAGAGAGAGAGAGGAGAGAGAGAGAGAGAGAGAGAGAGAGAGAGAGACAGACAGAGGCAGAGAGAGACAGAGACACATACACACACACAGGTCCACGGCAACATCGATGAACGACGTAGGAGCATAACAAAACAGAAACCTTCATGCACAACTCCCAGCCTTGGAAAGCTCACACAAGGCATTGGCGTGGTAGAGTTGTAGAAGATATGACAGATATGCACAGCACAGCTCACGTACCTTAGTAGTTTCTTCAATGTCCGCCACGGCAAGCTGACCGCTTATGTTGAAACTGTGCAGAAAATTTCCACCAAACACTAGCGAATCCACACACACACACACACACACACACACACACGGCCGCATTGTAAACAGTACAGTTAGTCACACCTTTTGACACTGAACCTCAACGGTAAAGAAGGGTTAGAGCACCGCTGCCCTCAAGTGAAGGCGCCTGGCTCGAGTCCTGGTGGCGCCAGTCAATTTTTTCTTCAGACGTTTTCCCGTTTGCATCTTTCCCTCAACCAATGAACAGGTAAGGAGTCGTCCGTATTTTTCGAAAAATTAAAAAATCCGTCCTCGGGCAAAAAGGGGTAGGGTTGTCAAGAGTGCTGGCTGAATTAATTTTTTTGATTATTCGTACTTTTTTTCTTTCTTTTTTTTTGCTCCAGGCCGGGACTTTCATACACTTGTTGCACTGACTGTGTAGTGTACTGTAGACCAGGGAGTCGTAAAATACCGGTATTTACGACTCCCTGCTGTAGACGTAGTGTAGGATCGATTGTCGCAAACACCAGTATCTACTATACATGACTTTTCAGACTTTTCATGTAGTTGTAGGACGTGTATGGCCGTTGGTAGACCTACTACTCCCTGTACTTAGCTACTAGTACTTGACATACCATGTAGGTGCAGTCAGAAAACATGGGATCAGGAGTTATTATTTTCGAGCTGGGCATTGGTAAAAATCAAAAACTTAACGGGAAAAAATGGGGGTGGGTGGGTGGGTCAGAGACAATTTTGCACGAGGACGGATTTTTTAATTTTTCGAAAATTACGGACGACCCTAAAGAAGGTGGTGAGACTTACAATCGAGCGTGACTTCTTCCTACGTAATATGTGAATGTACTGTATAGAAACAACTTGGCTCAGACCTGTTGCGACTTATCATCAAGTGCGACTTCTAATCAGTGAAATGCTGTACACTTAAGCCAATGCCAGCTTTCTTCTTCTCATTCCACTTCCTTCTCAGGTTCTGCTACAAGACACATTCGTGATTATAAGGAGCTTGTCAGTCAGAAGGATGGACAGAGAGGTAAATATACATACAAGTACGGATGGATGATGGGTAGAGAAACAGACAGAAAGACAGACAGACAGACAGATAAACAGACAGACAGACAGACAGATAAACAGACAGACAGACAGATAAACAGACAGACAGCCAGGTAAACAGACAGACAGGTAAACAGACATACAGACAGACAGACAGATGTATGTCTGTATCTACACCCATCGTCCATCTATATACTGTGTACATGTGTGTGACACAAAAACAGACAAACAGACAGGGAATGCTGACCTTTCCACCCTTGAGAATATGATACCAGACGGATGTGCCACCAAAGTCGATACGGAAATCTGTGTAGCAGCCACCGACGCTCATCAGGCAGTACCTGTGACAGCACGGCATCACCACAAGCAACAGCAGTAGACCAGCAACAACAACAGCAGCTCCATCAGTAAGCCAGCAACAACAACAGCAGCTCCATCAGTAAGCCAGCAACAGCAACAGCACAAGTAACAGCAGTAGACCAGCAACAGCCACACAATCAGTAAGCCAACAACAACAGTAGACCAGCAACAGCAGCGCCAGCACAACCGGCACCAGCAGTAGGGCAGCCAGCAACAGCAACAGCAGCACAATCAGTAAGCCAACAACAGCAGCAGCACCACAAGCACCAGCAATAGGGCAGCTACACCTGTAGTACTATGAACAGCACCAGCAGTCGGCCAGTAACAGCAACACCGGCGGCAGCAGCAGCACCATCAACAAGAACAAACAAAACACATACTTTTGCACTTTGGTATATTTCCTGTCGACCAGTCGGTTGGTGGCCTCCTGCTGCAAAGCGCGCAATGTTTCCGGCCACACCAAGTCCACTCCATCCATATGACGTACCTGCGTGCAGCAACAACAACAACAACAACAACAACAACAACAACAACAACAACAGCAACAGCAGCCGCAGCAAGCAAGCAGTAGGAAGAAGAAAAGACAAATGAGCAATATGTACACGGTTGCGAATACATACTATACAGCTTGTGATGGGGCATTAATAAACCAATATAAACACATTGCACAAACCAATCAGGAGTTAAAAATCCATACTTTCTCAAAACGAGCCTAAGCATGATCATGTATGACATGAGCCTCAAACGCCCACCAAACCCCCCAACACGGCATACAGGGGAGACAGTAGTGCAGTGGAGTGCTCAACTACAGTGCACTCATTTCTCACGACTCCTATCCGGACCTCCAAGTTACGGGCATCTTGGTCTACGGGGAACCCTGTGAGTGAGTTTTAGTGGATATATTACTACTTTTCTACCAATTTGTGGAAATACCAGGAGTGACGTAATATGCCAGATCTACGTGCCTTCCACATCAAGATGTACGTGATTACGAACATTTCAAAATGAAGGGCAGAGCCCTCGGTCCCTGACCGCCCGGATACAACAGGTAAGAGTGTACTACATATAACGTTACATGCATAGGATTGATTGATTGCAGCCTATATCAATCATATCTTCTGAAAATTGTAGTCCAAGTTGCTGTCTGATGATCGGTTAAAACCGTGAAACTCAGAGTTACAGCAGAAACGCTTTTGATTCTCTCAAGTGTATGTAGGATTGCTGACGTACCAGACTGGGTGACTCCACTTGAGGCTCCACCTTAGTCTTGGTGAACTCCAGGCTAATGACGTTGTAGAGTTTGTCGCGTTTCGCATTCGTGTAGTACCTGCACAAGAGAGTACATGGTGTGTGCCAAACACACACACACACACACACACACACACACACACACACAGACACACACACGCATACACACACACACACACACACAAACACACACACACATACAATGTAGCTCCGCGTCTCTTGGAACCTAAGAAAACACCCAAAAGACACCATGCCACCAAGACTTGCACTGAAAGGCTTACTTTGTAAAGTTTGCCATGCTCGTGGTGGAGCCTTGTTGTGAGGACACATCCATGATGTCAATAGTACGCCCACGCCTGCCCATCACCCAAAGACCCCCTAGCGATCTCACTGGCCCATTGCCCGCCATCCTCCTGGCACCTCCACCCATCTGCTGTACACTGCCTCCCCATCGCCTCTTTCTGCGCTTTCATGCTCACACCTGCTTGTTGCCTGCCACCCTCCTGGCACTTCTACTGTCGCGCCGTGGCCCGCACCAGCTGTTCTCCCCATACCTTACACCAGATTTAGCGCTAAATTTGTTTATGCTTGTGGCCCTATGTATTTATAAGCATACTGACTCACTGTTGGGCAGACCCGAGTATCAGTTGTCTGATGTTTGCCTAACGGCATGAAACTCAAGAGTTACAACCAACCTGAACGTCCTCCGCTGAGTCTGCTATGATTTGAAAACTCCGTATGGCGGAACCCAGATGCGAATGCAGTTTACGTAAGACTTTCCGTAGATCGACTACATTTTATAACTAACGTAATTACGTTATGCGGAACATCTCTAACAAAGTACAGTGAGTGCAGGGAAATACTTCGACAACTGCAGACAGTCAGTTATAGGCGATTCACACGACAGCCACTTGCACGTTTTACGGTGAGTGATTTACGAGAAAAGTGACTGTGTGGATTCACATGGCTGCACTCAACAGCGGGCACGTTTGCATTTTTGAATGATTCACCCACCAGTTGCCATGAGTATTTCAAATTTTCAAAACACGTGTACAATAATTATCACGGTGAAAAGAGCCGCGTAAAAAATCAAGTCTTGTTTTGCGCTTTTGTGTGTAAATATAGTTTACTGCTTGCCGCAGAGGGGCTGAGGGCTAGACCCACAGGACACTTCTGATCATAACTCACTAGACCTAGTCTTTCTTAAACTTGCATTCAGTTTCGGCGGGGACAATACCCCCGACACACGACCAACAAAATCTCTAACTGTCTTTGACGCCATCAGAATATCTATGCAAACACAGCCTAACGGACAAAGTCAAACAAGCCGTGACCTGATGTTGACACAGCCTGGTCAGTATGGAGCTTGCATGTCGAGTCTGCAGTTAAGGAATTCATACCTCAAAACTTGACAAAAGTTGAAGCGAAATAACCTGAACAACAAACTGTGGTATAATGCGGGAAAATCAATAAAATTAATTACAAAAATGTCACGTTCGGAAATTTTATTGGGTGGTCATCCCGTTTGACTGTGCGAAGTAAAATTAAAACAACCAAATGGTTGGGTTGATCTGCACTGTGCAACCGATTCTCTCACCTTTCTTCCTCCAGCTATGCCTGTGACACCCTTTGTGAATCTGCGAAACACTAGTGGCAGGCCACGCGAAAATGAGAATGCGCGCAGCCAAGTTTAGGCCATCATCTCCTTCATCCATCATCCCGGCGGTAACTCCGCCCGTTCAATATCCAACACCAGTCCCCAGGAAAGAATAAGGCACGAGATTTCAAGTTCAAGGGCAAAGCTAAAGCCAATGGCACTGATTTTTGGACTATTGTCAAGTACTCAGTTCAAGTACTGTAAATATACAAATTTTCGGCAGCTATTTAATTTCGGCTATATTCGGCACCGACCCAAAACGCCTAAATAATTAAAACGCCGGTAGAAATTTTTCACAGCATCTGTCGCACCATGCCCTCTATGAATTATGATCTACCCCACGCCGAAAATAAATCGCCGCCGAAATGTCAAAAATCGTGAAGTGCCGAAATTTTGCAGCGCCGAAATTTTTGTATATTTACAGTACACGACAATAAATAATCGAAGGCGATCTGACGGTCAGATTCGACACACACGTGACCAGGTGACACAGCTTGAGTCGCGCTCGCGTGTCGCGCTTCGCAGCTCGAGCGCGCCCAAGAAGAGTCTCGGGAGCGCGACAGGCTAGCCGCTTGCGACAAAAGTTGTCTTTTTTTACGAATTCTGTGACGTCATGTTTTGGAAGAATGTCCCAACACTGGCAACAGTCATTCGCGTATCGCGATCGCGATATCCATGACCATGATGACCATGCCCATGTTACCATTGATGTACCTGATGTACTGATGTATACAGTCATGTAGACGTAGGTCTACGTGCAGACCGGGTCAGGATTTACTTTTTGTGTCAGTCGTGACAAGTCTACAACGCGTACGGTCGGTCTACCATCCACAGCTAGCACTGCAGCACAGCCTGCTCGTCAGGCCCCTGCGCACGCGACTACACGTCTACAGAGCTCCTCCCAGAAGAAAAAAGTGAGTCATGCCAGCTTCTTGTTTCCAACTCCAAGGCACTTACCGCGCCGTACCACCCAGACTCCCAGTGCAGTCAGGGTTCATTTTGGTTTGTTTACAGTCGGTAATGGAACAGGAAGGCTGTGCGGTGTTTGAGCTGGTCATTTTGTATAGCGTTTTGTGACGAGCTCGTGGTAGTTCTGCGGGGAAGTGAAGACTCCTTGCGGCCCTCACCGGACCGTGGAGTTGGAGGAGCCACTATCAATTGCCAGCTGCATTGTGCATGTGCAGCATCGGCAGGTAAAGTTTACGATATTAATTTTGGTGTTTCCTGAACATACCACATATGTACAGTGTATCCGGGAATGCGTGCGCTGTTACCGCACTAGGTAGAAAAGTGACTGTAAGTCTACCTGGTCTACCCTGTTACTAGCAGACAACCTCGGGGGTGAGGATTCAGCATTTTCGTTTTATAGATTTTTACTATTTTAACGAGTATTGCTTACGAACACGACATGCATATTTTTCTGCTGTTCTTCTGAGTAGACCCAGGTGCTCGAAGTCCGTACATGGTATCCTAAGTTCGTACGCCCATAATTTCATGTTCTGTTATTGTATTCGACTCAAATATTTTATGGAGGGGACAGTGTGGTATGTTCTCCTCGCGTACCAATTTTCAGGGATCTACGATAAGCAGAAGTCCCATACCACGGGATCGGGCCCGGGAGTGGGTTTTCGAGTGTCCATACGAATACAAATTGGGTTACATTTCATGCAAAAAGTTACTTTGCCAAGACCGATTTCGAACGGACACAGCGTCAAACAGACCTTCACTCAATCATCAAGAGCCAGCTTAGAGCGGACAATGGCCAGAGGAGAAGAATTTACAGAGAACCAACAATCCTTGCAGAAAGGTTGACACTCCTGGCATCTCCACCACTGTTTTCCCGCGGTTTTCACAGCGCAGCTGCTTCTTCTCTGAGCCGACTAAAAACAGCTTGCATTGCGGCAACAAACTACGCTTTTGCAAGAAATACTGGTGGAGGCACATGCCAAACATATCCCTTCGGTACTTTCGTCGTAACCGAGGGATTGCAAGTTAGCAATTAGCAGAAATATGTGTGTATTTCGAGTCACCTCTGATCAGTACGGACTTAGAGTACCCTCTGCGACACCAAAATTTGATATGAAAAATGAGCGAAATCCAGAGAAACAGATCGGATCGAAAGATGGCCTGGTTCAATCGAGCCTGGCCTCAGAACAAACTTGGACAAGATACCTTCCATCCACGAGCAGGATTCTGGCAAGTGATCATTGCTAGCGTGAGTTTCAGCTCGGCAAACACACACTGTAAAAGTGTACGGACTTCGAGCACCTGGGTCTACTGTCCTGGACATGGAAATCTGGTCGCACGTCTAGCGGCCCCAGGGCGCTGGCCATGCAGCCATGGGTAAGCAGTACACACATGCATGACATTATTATGCTGGTCGCATCGGATCAACATGTGCACTGTGCTGTAGGCGCTGAGGGCGCCGGCCCCCGGTCAATCGACTGGATTTCCATGTCCGCGACAGTACATCATATACTCGTACATACTACATTAGCCAGTGCAGGCTAAATTTTATTTTTCAAGGAAACCCTTCGAAAATGGTACCAATCGATTCAGCATGGCATTTTCATTCCTCCTGCAAAGTTTCAGCTGATTTGGAGTCATGACAAGGACGCTATGGCGATTTGAAGATCGAAAAACTTCAGTTTTGTTTGTCAAGAAGAAAGGCCATGATCGCACACAAATCATACAACCCGTGTGGCACAATGATTTTTGAACGAAGTTGATCCGCGGACCCCGTGCTTCGCGCATGCACGCATGCATACTGCACAGTACAGAGGCTTTTTTGAACGCAGATATGATTGTAGTTCTTCGTCTTCTTCGAAATGTCTTCCAAATGCGTGGTGCTGGTGTTGTTCTCAGCTTCGTCAAGGCAGAATGCAGCTGCATGTGACGCTCCTGTGTGGTCATGCATGTTCTCTTTTCGCGTCTCGACATTGTAGCGTCCAGACTCTGCTCAACTGGAGAAGATTGAGGAGACTATGCTTTGATCCACATGGAAAATCGATGAAATTTGGTAATTATCGTCGGGCGCTAAAAAGCGCTGGGGAGCATGGGGCTAAAACTTCGTAGCAGTCATCCCTACCATGACAGGCATCGACTGGTATATGTTCCATTCTGTTCCCAACCACTACGGGTCGCCTGCGAATCTTTCTTCTTCGCCGATTCTCGGACAGATCGTATGTCTTCGCACTGTATCTCTCGTCTCCCTCAACGGATCAAAACACGGTTTTCGCCAGGACGAAAACAAACCCCCAGATTTCGCGGCAGCAACATCTTCGAGTAGGGAAAAGCTAGCAGCTAACCAGGAATCACCAAAAAACACGTGTAATACTCAGTGTGATTTGCGACAGCTGTCATTGTGCCGTCGCACCATGCATGTACCATGCACGGGAATGGAACACGGATGAGTCGTTTTATTACGACAGCCTGCACTGGCTAACTACATACTGTATCCAGATAAGGAACGCTGTTTCCCCATAGCAAGATAAAGTTTTCCCCTGACCCCTGTACAAGACAACCCATTGTAAAACAATTTTCATCAAACCCCTCCTATACAAGACAACATGAAACATTGATCGAGCTACAGGAGCTAGAAAAAAACAAATCCAGACAAATCACATTCAAACTTTCCGCCTAGCTACTGGCAGGGGAACATTGGACTATCTGAGCAATTTTGTAGTCCATGGTCATTTGCTTTGTCTTGTAATGACTGGGAATCGAACCTGTCAGACAGCTAAAGGTGATTTTTATAATGAATTTTTTCTACAAAAGAATTGTCTCTTATCCGGATTTGCATATACTACCATTATACAAATGAGATTCCTCCGGCTCGGTAGAGTGCTCAAATAGAGCTATCTTACACACGACACAGAACACCATGCATCATTCGTTGGCTATGGGCATGAAACAACGAGAGAGCTTGGAAGCTCAGGGCCCTAAGCTATGCTTTTTTGCCTTGATGACCTAGACAAAAAAAGCATAGGGATGTTATAAATTCTTATATTTCTACTTTTTGTTTTTAGACATAACCTGGGATTCGAACCCGCACTATCGCCCTGCATGCATCCCCCGATACACTTCGCATACATACTAATTCTTCCAAGTTGCTTCACGTTATGATCCTGTGTTTGAAATCCCTATTTGAATATGCATTGTGGCCAGCCGTCTTTGATTGTACGGTACGGTATGGGACAGGGTAATACGACACCATCTACCGGCTTGATGACGGCAAAAAAAGAAAAGGGATGTTATACAATTTTCAATTTTCCTACTTCCTCCGTATACAAAAACTTCGTGACTTTTTTTGAACAGTGTTTTTGAGCAAGAACCTGTTCAACGAACGGCGCCAAAGGCTGTCATCGAAAACCCGCGTCCATGTCGAGGTTTGTTTGGTTGATCCCGAACAGATTCTCCACGGGCGCCCTGCGTGTGAGGACGTTGCCGACAGAAACTCAAGAGTCAAATAAAAAAAAACTAACACTTACTTGCTCGAAACTGACACAATGACGAAGTGTAGCTCGTGGCTGGAACACGGAGTCACGCGGCACTCGCTGCCCTGAAACTGGCCAGGCTCGTACTTGCGGTGCGCGGCCCCGTAGATCTACGCGGCGTGAGAACATAGATTTGTTTCGCTCGCACGGCAAGATGAAACATTTCAGTCGTCGTGCAACCAGCGCAGACTCAGGATCAGAATGTCGATGGCCTGGCTTTCTTCGCCTCTCTCCAGTCAGACGTCTCCTTTGTCGCCAAGGGGAATCGCAGGGACCTCCTCGAAGCCATTGTAGAATGCTGGCGAGAAAATGCGAAGCTTGTGGATGTGCTTGTACGACTCGTTTCACGGCATAATGGAGGTCGCGGGTTGGAACAACTGAATATAGTCGACACTGATTCGTACACAGCTCTAGAGATGAAGAGGACGTAGTCAAAGTCCAGCGTCGGATTATCACTGCAGGTTACAAGAATCTGAACGAAATGCGAGCGCAAGCAGCGACTGTGGGCGATGTGGAGTCGGCGTCGTCAGGTGACAATGACATGAGCGACGAAGACTCTGAAAAAACTCAATCTCATTCGTCTGAGTTGCTTTTTTCTTTGTATATAGCTTGTAAACAGGTTAGCCAATGCCACAAGTGTTATTCCGAGTCAAACGGAACAATTCCAGAGCTGTGCGCAGCTTTCAAAAAAAAGTCACGAAGTTTTTGTATACGGAGGAAGTATTTTTTCAGGCATTTAATACCTGGGATTCGAACCCGCACTATCGCCCTACATGCATTCCCCCATACACTTCGCATTCATACTCATTCTTCCAAGTTGCTTCACGTTATGATCTTGCATTTGAAAGCCCTATTTGAATAGTGCGGCCAGCTGTATGTGGCCAGCTGTGTTTGATGGTACGGTACGGTACGGGACAGATACGGGATAGCGGCAGGCGTGACACAAACACACAAACAGACAAACACCAAATTAAAGCTGTGTGGACCCGGGCTAGCGCCAGACGTTATTGAAGTAACGTCTTCTGCATAGCTACGGGAATAAGTGACAATGAATGATGCATGGTGCTCTGTGTAGTGTGTACTGCCATTACACAATGTACACATGTTGTCAGGGGATTTTAGATCTTTGTTTGCTAATCACGGTTGTTTTGTAACCGATGTCGTACTAACAACGTTAAATCTGCACTAGTACACTCGTGTCTCTCTAACCCGGACCTCAAAGTTACGAGCACCTACACTGTAGGTATACCATGCACCCTGTGGATGGGTTCTAGTGGTAATATTACTACTCATCTGCCAACATTTGTGCAACTATTGATGTCATATGCCAGATCTCTGGCTCTTCCACATGCAAATGTATGTGATTGAGAGTTATGGACATTTCAGAGTTATGGACAATTCAAAGTCATAGGCAGTGTCTGGTCTGGGACCGCCCGGAAAAGAGAGATACATACTTGCCAACCCAGCCAAAGCAAATCCCTTAGTCACACACCCAGTTTCCCTTAATTTTCTTTCATTTCCCTTATTTCCCTGGTTTTTGCCAATTTTGGCCATTTTCGCTTTTTTGGGGCAATTTTTGATTATTTTTGCGTATTTTCCGCAATCTTTTGACAATTTTGGTCAATTTTGTTATTCATTTCTTACTCATTGCTAATAAGGGGACCAAAACCTGAGTTTCTTTATTGTCAGATCGCCCCTACATGTACAATGTACATGTGTGATTCTGTGAAATGCAGGGCCGCATGTGCCCTTGTCACACCACAAAACAACGTTTTTATGAACACTCATCATGGTTCAGTGCCAATACCGGTAGTTTTTCGATGAAAGTCAAAAAGCCCCCAAAGGCCGATAGTGACCGTAGTTTCCCGGTATAATACCGGGAAAACCGGCATGGTTGGCAAGTATGGAGATACAATGTATGTGAAATTGGCATGGAAACAAGCTTTAAATCTAAAAGAAATCAAATAGTTAGGATTCAGCAAGGTAAAAGAACACTCATAAGCAAATAATTATAATAGCAAAAAAAGAGAACAAATTCTGCTGTCATCACCACACAACAACGAAGTCATGAAAGTTTTCCAAATTTTTTTTTTGTCACATTCATCAGTGGAAAGTCGTGACTGAAGAGTAACCATGCTGAACAATGACTAAATATACATTCAATAACGTGTTACGAGAACAAAATAAAGTGCTAAAATAGAATGAGGGAAGGTGAGACAATAGAAGTGAAGTGAGAGCTAAGTGCAACGGCGGGTGAGAAACTAATTGTAACGCTAGAACTGTGTAGTGAGACAAACAATCATGCTGTGCACCTACGAAAACAATCTTAACGCAACAACAGTCGAATGTCACTTATCCGACCACTTTGGGAATCAGAGGCATGTTTGATAACTGGATATATTGGATAACTGATATCATTTTTTAATTAGCGTTAGCATGGTAACGCGAGTTAGCAGCCAGCCCAGCGAGCTGGCCCAACCTGCACGCATGCGCGAGTCACGTGAGCACGCGCCCTTCAAAATGCTGTACAATGTCTCTTGCATGTCATTGGTGTTTGGACTTTCGAGTGTGCAACTTGCGGAACATGTGTTCCCAAACAATTTCCTTTCGTTAAGACTTTCAAGCTTGCATTCTCGTATCTCTACGTTTCAAATTCAGACTTCAATGACGCCTGTTGGTGCCTGAAACAATGTCGTCGTCTACAGTGGAACGTCGACTGTGGACTTTTAGCTTGCGCCATCATCAGGTTTCCTGATATGAAGTACCTCCACGCGATCTCAGCGCCCCTTGTTCGTGCATTGAAACAATGTCGTCGTCACCAACCGGCGTCCAGCCTTTCCGGATTACCTGGCTCTACCTGGCTCCGCTGCCCGCCTACTGCGAACGCAGCGACGGCCGCCACGCAGCACCATCACTGCAACAGCAGGCGCGAGCCTGACGATCGTAATTCGTATCCAGAGAGGCGAGTTCGTGGACTTTGATTTTCTGTTGGAAGTAACAACGCCACTGCCGTCACCACCGCCACCCAGCTTCTCCTCGCTCTACTTGGATCTGTATCGCCGCTCGCCACCAGCAGGCCGGACCCTACTGGGAGCCCGGTGCAGTGACGACCGCCAAATGCGCATGCAGCACCAACAGCAGGTGAACCTGACTTTCCTATACGGGCCCTTCTCGATCGTGTCCAGATAGGTGAGTTCGTGGACTTCGATTTCTTGCTGCCCGATACAGTTGCAGTCAGTGCAGCTCCGGCGACGTTCCAACTCCGTAGCCCCTCATATGTTGCTCTTCTGGCGCACTAGCGCTTATTTGAATCCGAACCCAGACCTGTGCTTCGTGGGCTGCATGACGGTAGCACTTGTATTGAGTTGAGACCTGGACAGTGTTCATGAATGGTCTGTGTTCCACTGTTCCTCACCGCGTTTCACGAGTGCCTGTCGACGTATTTGGCCACGATCGTCGCGGCCAATCGCCAGTTCTTGCCAGCAAGAAACTGGACGTTATCAATACTCAATCTGCGGACAACTGTTTCGTCCTTTGTGGACTCATCAGCGCAGCACAGAGGGAATTAAGCCGAACCTGCTGCACAGCTCGCTTCCATATTCCTCCTCCCGCTGCCATTGCGTTCTCTTCCTGACCGGTCTTTGCTTGCCATTGCCAAGCACCTGACAGCCGTCAACCCTTCCGTTGGCATCATCCAGATCCGGAGAGTTTCGTTGCATCTTCCCAGACATCTCTGCAAACCGAGCTGCCGCCAGCCATTTGCTCCTTCTCAGCTTTGGCGTGTTGCATTTGTCTGCGTCCGGCATACCATCAATCGCTGATAATGGGGATGAGACACAGTGTACGTTTTCTTTTACAATATTAATGTTTGTTCTCGAGTTTTGCGTGCTGTGTTGATTTTTCGGAGACACCGTTTGTGGAGCAGAAGCCTCTGCCGGAACGGACAGTGGCTTCGAGTGCTTACGTGGTCTGCCACGCTTTGGTCAGGAGGACCCAGAATTCGTATTCGTGATCCAAATCTTTGTAAACAAAAAGAAAATGTCACCGCACTTATACTCTTTCAGTAAATTCGCACTCACACACACTTGCACATGCATGTACATTGTCACACTGCACTTGCTGAATTTCCTATCATTTCTCACCTGTCTAGTTTTATTACCAGTGCAATTTTCCGAAGTTTGTGCTATGTTTCTTACTATGCTTGTATCCTCGTTTTTCATTCCAAGGGTATAGATCCTATTGTAGTTTCATCATTCTCTTTAGTCACGAATTCCATTGATAACTGTCGCAAGAAACCGTTCTGGAATACTTTATTCGTCGCTATGGTTGTGATATGGGTGCACATAATCTTATTCATTGCATTATTAAGATTATTGACTCCACGTCGCCTTTTTTATATATTATTATTTCTACTAACCCTTGATCCGGTTCACTACTCGAGGCTCGGCTATCATTAGATCATTAGAGAGGTTGCGCAAGATGAAAATGCGTAGCACAGTAACGAAAAACTTAACGAAAGAAGTTACGAAAAATCGTAAACCGTGAGGTTGCGCACAATGTGTGAAATGTTTCGTAGTAGGTCGACGCTAGCGCGGCAGGTACGGAAAGAGTCAAGGCAGGGAGTTGTAAAATATCAGTATTATAGTACTCCATGTGACGAAAAACAGTAGATCTGCTCTGTCTCGGTCTCTTTTGGACGAATCTTTGCAGTAACTTCCGTTCATTGAACCCCGACGGTCAGTATCTTATTAATTTTCGTTGTGTGCAACCTCTTTATTATATATTTGATAACCTTTGATCCAGGTCATTCTAAGAGGCTCGGTTATTCTTACAGTGTATTTCTTGTGACCCTTAATCGGAGTCACTATAAGAGACCGGGCTCTTCATTACGATGTGGTATTCTGACATGGTGTGTTGGGCGGGTATGTTTTTTTATGTGCCTTACAGTGATGGCACCGGTGATTGGTTCCCAG